GATACAAAGCACCAGAAATCTAACCCAGTTGTCGATAATGAGACGACGTTAATAACGTAGTACGTGAAACAGAACTAGAAACGGAGTCGCAGTCGTCAGAATCGAGCGACGAAATAAAACGTATTATTCTTAATTATGAGAATTGGCCGTCCATGAAACGACGTAATTGATTAGAAAAAACGTTGAGGAGAGACGGTGGGCAACGTTCGAACTTTTTCAATCGCATTTCAATTTCCCCGCGGCAGAACGGGTCTTCTAGCCCGGCGTCGGAGAGAGAAAGAGTTCATAAAACTCGGCGGAAATCAGAATGCTAAACGGACCGAAAAGGACTTACTTAAGCGATCCGAAAGCGGGGGATTCGCCGCGGCTTTAAAGATAAGACCACGGAACATCGGGAGGATCCGAGCAAATGCATCCCCTCGTCGCGTCGCGTTCTTCAGCCCGCGTGACTTCCGAGTCGTCTGTGTCCGCGCGAAAGACGCCGCCGGATGCGAAATGCGAGAGCCACGCGATGCAACACGAACACCGGATCGATCCCGTTCTTGTTACCATACTACGGTTCCCGATCTTTAATTAAAGGAATTAAATTAAGAGCAAGGGTTTTCCTGTCCAATTTATACCCACATAAATCCTAGAATACTTCCGGGTACTTACTCTGCTCTACACGTACCAGAGGATCAAACAAGTATTCCGAATTAGGAAAAGTTTTAATTGAAACATTACGTTAAACGACCAAATATATCGTATGGACGTCTAGCGTACGAAACAGGTGACACGTGAAAAGCTGGAGCCGCACTATTTGTAACGGCGCCGAACTGTATCGAATCCGTGATCATTCCGTATGTCACGGAGACGACGAAACCCGGCAAGATCAGTTCCAGGATTTTTATTATAGTATATCATTATTTTATTATTACGGCATTGATTTTGCTGGTTTCCGACATCACAGTGACGTACGGAGCCGGTACAGATCGGTCCTGCTACGAATAATACGGATTCTGCATAACTAGGCCACTGTGTCAGTGATACTAAACGTTGCAGTTAAAGTTTGGAAACGTATATTTTCGGAGTGAGTCGAAAGCGATTTTTCTCCGTCGACCGGAACTCGGTCTTCGATCGAGTCGATCAAATCAGTGATCAATGGCAGAAGCATACTTTTATCCATCGTCGAATAGGTTCGTTGGCGTGATCTGATTGAAGGAGGGGATGATTCCCCTTGACATTTGGACACGGATCGTGCGTGCGAACGCACACACGGATGATTGAATAAATCGCATAAAATATTTACTAACTCCATTGGAAATGCTTGTACATAAAAATGAACAGTGATTCGAAGTGAGAGCACGTAGACTCTGCGAAGGGGTATTAGAATAGCTTCCCGTCCGTGGAAAGTATATAATAAGGATCTCCGAAGAATCGGCGGGAAGGAAGATTTAAAGCGAAAAGCTGATCGTTTGCCGTATAAACGTTTTTCGAATATACTGCCGGCTCCGCGGCCAATAAAAGTATACCTCCTCTCCCCTGCTTTATCAACGCTATTTGTCTTCGAATTGAAAAGATCGGGATGAATTCAGAAAGGGCGGTACCTGAGCAGAGTGCCGTCTCTCTTCCCTAGCCGGCGTCGGGACGCCTCGATTTACGGCTCCCGAGACCGTGAGACGTCGTCGGATTTATCTTTCTCTTCACGCGCGCGGATTAAACAGGCTAAATAAAGCATCGCGTATCGCCGAGAATACGGTTAAGGGAAATTCATTTTTCACCGAACGCTATATGCCGCGTACGTGAGAAAAATTACGTATATCCATTCGGGACGAGGTTCCGGAGACTCCCGTTCTTCCATTTAATAATTCAAGCGACAAATGATACTACTATCGATTGCACGATGAACGTTAACAAGTAAACTTTTTTCGTCGAGAACAGAGAGAAACGGTTCGTGTAACAATTGTTGTAACTTGTAACGTTCGACGCGACGTTACGTCTGACGGAACGAATGATTGAAATTCATTTTTCACCGAATGCCGTACGCCACGTACGTGAGAGAATTTAGGTATTTCTGTCGGTGGTGAGATTTCCGAAAGCGATCCGTCCTGGGGACACTTGAGTGCCGTGTTGTATGGTTTTCGAACGACCAGGATCAATTCCGCTTGGACGAAATTTTATTTTAATCGCCGTCCGGACGCGCCGAGAGTGGCTCGCGTCAATCGATTAATCGGAATACGATTCCGAACGGCGCGACAAAGAGAGGTAAAAAGAATCGGACAATGGGAGAGTGCGAGCGCCGGAGTGATTGAGTTTACCCCACCCAAATTTTAGTTTAACACCCCCATATAATTCTAGGCACAGAGTCTGTCATCCTGTCGTTCCAGTAATAATTCCTTCGTATCAAGTGGACACTCCGTAGAATGGTCGTTTCACAATGGGTCCGAGCCACTTGAGTCTTCTGTGCGACATCAAAAGTTAGGATTCAAAAGGATGTCGGAAGAAAGGCTTATCGTATAACGCATAATAATAATAATTTTATTAACGGGAAGAATTCTTTGTAATACATAAATGAAAGTATATAATGCAGTTCTGTGCAATAGAATAATAAGAAATAAAAATAAATTTCAAAATAATGGTAATTATAAGATAAAAACCAAGGAAAAAAAAGAACAAAGTAATACAATTATAATAACAGATGACATTAGATAAAGATAAAAGATAATAATGGTAAATAATGAGACCATAAAATAAGTGGAGAGGAAGAAACGCAGGAGTATACAAAGGGATGAGTAGTCGCTAATAAGGAGAAGCAGTGTACAGGACGGTTGAGATAAGTCAACGAATTGAGAAGGGAGTAAGGATTGACGCGTTTTGTCTCCTGATGATTTCAACCCCATCGCTCGAAACCCACCCCTTTCATTAAATTAGACCGAGTCGCTTCTCACAAGAGAAATACGCCTGATTGCAATTTTAACGCGCATCTACCGGTCTCTTTTCCATGATAATTCGCAATCTGCGGCGCCACATCTATTCCGGTGGAAGCTCGACTTCTCGGGGCGAATCGAGCAGTGGGAGAAAAAAATTCCCGACAAAATTCGCGCTCGTCGGAGCGCTCCGTCTCACGAACGAAGCCAAACGGTTTAAAGGAATAACAGACGCCGCCACTTTTAATTAGTACATCCGGCGCTTGCACGGATCTTCATTTTCTATACGTGATATTTCAACGGGTGGCAGAAACGGGTCACGCGTATACGCGCGAGCTGCTCGCGAATCGCCCGTGCGATAAGGCGATTACAGGCACCGCGCGCATACTCTTGGTACAGTCTCTGCTCTTCTATCCATAACCGTGTCACTAGTTTCCAGCGAGCACACGACCAGGCGATCCATCCGCGCTTCAGTTCCAGCCAGTATTTCGACGTCCCTCGCGGAAAGAAAACTTTAAACCCACAGTGGCCGCAATGGGCTCATTCGCGCGATTTATAAAAACGACTCTCCGCCCGGGAAAATCGGATTCCACGGACGTAAACGAATAGCCGAGCATCTGGACGCGTCACGAACGATACGAGCAAATCGTTTCTACGATCTTTACTCGAATCGTTTGTCGAACGCAATTTGTTAATCGCGTCCTCTTTAAACCTGGAACAGACCGCGCTGGTTCGTTAACAAAGAACCGTTCAAATCGTTTATAATTCTAGGACACGTTTCGCGTCGAGTCGTAATGAAAGAGAATCTTGTTAAAGTTGTATAAGCCGTGAGATCTCTACCAAAAGTTTAAGACGTGTAATAAAAAGCTGAGTCCAATATTTGAACCAATGAACTTTTAGAAAAAATTATAATTACAGAGGAGTAAAGTTTATAAAATCATTCAACCTTTTTTCTCTCGGTCATAAGAAATTTTTAATCATTCGACATAAGAATTTAAGATGCAATAACTTTTTTAATAGACTCGCAATATTTCTAAAATTTTATACAAAGTTTTATTAACGTAACATTTAGTAACTGTTAAAATTTCAATGCTTCGTGATTGTTTTTATGTAATGTTTCGTACAACCTTAATTGAAAGAGTCTATAACAAACGAGCGCACGCTGATCCAGTGCCGTTCCAATATTTCGACGTGGAAAAAAGAAAACAAAAATTTCAAGTACTTCCGCGAACGAAACGAGCTCATTTGTAGGATTTATGACAATGAATTCCCAACGAGAAATTCGTATAAAAGAGAGGGAGGGAGATCCGCGTTTAAATATCGCACAAACAATTAAGCGTCGGGCAGGAAATTAAAGAGCAGAAAGATCTCGTCGGTAGATCGTCGGTTAGCGAGGAAGCGTTAAAATTCCAGGACACGCGGCGAGTATCGTAAGGGATTCTAATGAAAGAGGATCTTGTTCTCCGGCTAATTGAAAATCGGCCTCCGCGTACACCACAGGATAAACATTTATTCGCCGACCCCTGTCCGGATAAATTAAACGAATCTTTGGTCGGGTTTTATTAACTCGGAGGGTGTCGTCGACCCGGGATCGTTTGACGATCCGCGTTCCGTCGAACAACCAGATTATGTCGACAAACGTGGAAACGCTGTCCTTTTCCTCGACCGCGGCCTCGCTCCACGGGAAGAGAAACGTCAGGCTATTAAGTCGTAAAATACATAAACCCACGAGAGCCCTTTCAATATTCCCGGGCGCAAACGCAGCGATTCCGACGCGGCGTCGCCGTAAATCAACGCCGGATCATTTAAGCGCGTTTTTACTCGCCGCGTGATAAAAATACGTCACGCCGAAACTGTAATTCAAATCGTTCGATTTTACTGTCGCGCGAGGATTCCGGACGCGTCCCGGGTGGAACGGTTTCCGTTACCCACGTATGTGTACCGGTTTCAGTTATGAAAATGCTCGAAACGTCCGTCGGGTGATTTAAGACTGTATTTTCTCTACGGATCGCTCTATTTCTTGACAGACGCGCAACACCGGCTCTGTAAACGCTCATACGCCCGTGTCGTATTAACGATCAATTTTTATTTCAGATGAGGCGGAAATCCGAGAACGCAGCTCTTTGTCTCCTTCTACTGTCCATCGCTTCGTCGAGCTACGTCGTCCCCGTGGCCGGGTATAAGGTGAGCATCGAAGCCTCTGTTCGACACAATAAAAAAAATCGCTCGAGAGAGAACGAAGGGGTACAGAAAGCGGCGTTACGTAAAATCATGTTTCGTACCAAGCGAATCTGTGAGATCGTTTCGTGTCCCACAAGAACGCACAATATTTCCACGGATAGATTTATGGATCGAGCTGACGGGGGAGGGCGGACGGGGTTGGTACACCGTTCGAAATCCTTTTTCGCGCATCGCCGCCTTTTTGCTCTTCACGGAGCAGAAAGTTATCGACGTTGCAACGGTGGAAGAACGTGGACAGATAAGATGGGCAAGAAATTGCTAACGAAAAGTGCTGGAGACGGTAAAAAACGCGGGGTGGATGGGTTTGTTTCGGGGGATTCGAGGAACAACGGAACAACTGTGATTCCCTGTTCTTTCGTTTAAGTCCCACGTTAATTGTACCCCGTAGAAAAAGCGCGTCTGGCGTCGTCTCAAAACCCTTTAACGTAATGAACCGAGATCATCTACGGTCGCGTTTTATTTCATGACGTCTGGCAATGAATTTCGTCTGCGACGAATTTTTCTCGACCGCTCCGAACTTCCTTGGCTTTCAAAGGGAGAATTGAAACGCACACCGAAGCGTGTATCGTTTTCTACCGTATTAAATCGCACTCGAAAGTAGTTTACGACGAGTGAGCGATCGCGGAAACCGTGTTCTCTCACAAATAAGAATCCCACAGAGAAAATATTGATACGATAAGCAACGAAGTGTATTTAAACTCTTGTACGGTTCGGCGGACACAGTCGATTACAATGGGAGTTGGACAAAAGCTGAGTAAAGAGTCGTTGGATACGCTGTCGAAGCCACCCCTCGCGGACCGGTGCACCGGTGTATCGCGGACATTATTCACCTGACGAGCTCTCTTCAGGCAACAAACGACATAACCGGTTTCTTTCAATGGATTCCTCCGTCGGGTGACCCACTTGCCACCGGTAATAATCGATCACACACAAACGCGATTTACTAAAATAGCGTACATTTTCTATTAGCCCGAGTTATTCCATATACGTGACCCAGAATCTGAATAAACGTGACATACGTAGAGAGCCGGTGAATCCCTGGTATCTCTTTTCGAAGCTCTTTATCAATTTTTCATGCATCATTCGAGTCAAACGTTCGTGAATCTTATCAGATTGACAAAGTTACGTTCACAAAGTCGAACCGAAAATCAATAATTCGTGCAGATCAATGCAGTCGTTCGATTAGTATCGATCTGATAGTTTTTGCATTTCGATTCCTCTGATTGATCGGACGAGAGAATTGTCTGCCGGTTCCGTTCGGCTCGAGAATCATCTGACATGCCGCGGTCGTTGCTCGAGCGCGTGTGCCGGCCGCAAATGTTGACCGGAAGTGTTTGTTCCGATACATGTGCCGTACCACGGTGGACACCACTTGCCCCGCGTAACGCTGTGGCCCAACATAATTGTTGGCGTGCCAGAATTTACCCGGCGCGGTGCAGCGGGACGCGGGTCATGGGTGCCCGGATCGGTGGAGGCATTTGTCCCTCGTGTATCCCCGACATGCGAGGATAATTCGTCGCGCGCGCGATCTGAAGCAGATTTGATTGCACCGACGTCCATGATAAATGTAAATGCAAACAACGTCTGACGACTCGAATTCGAACCCGACTAATTTCCATACCGATTGTTCTTCCGATTTAGATCCTAACGAACCCCTTCTCGTCGTGACCACGTCTTTGTCGAGCCTCACAAAATCATCCAACATATGTACGTCATTGTTCCTTCTTTTTTTAATCATTATTTGATTTCCGTGACGTAAGATGGACATTGATTCCGACGAAATCGTTGCGTTTCCGTTGTATTTCTACTAATCGTGGATCAACGAGCGACGAGTCAGCTAATCGAACAAATGATTCGCCGTATCGATTCAACAAGTTCGATGAAAATCGCAGCATTAATTAACGACGACCATCACAGCAGGAAGTTACAAACGTTAAACGGCCCCTCGTGGCGTTTCATTATCTCGTATAAAATAATAGCACAGTGATTCCTGTGCCAAGTTCCGAGTACTAAATTTCCAGAACGCTATTTACCTCCCTCGAGCTTGTTTCCTAATAAACGTCTAAGCATCTACTTTTCGTTATTTACCCCCGAGTCTCGTTCTTTGATGTGTGGTTTCCACAAGTTTCCGAATCCGACGCCTACGGCTCGACGTTTACAAAGTTCCGATTTTCCCCGGACAGAATCAGATATAGGCAGAAACCTCACTGGTCGTGTTAATCGATAATAGAAAATAACAGCTTAATACGATGAATCGAAACAACGAAATCGCTGACCGTAATTGGATCGGACCACGCTGTCAGACATATCCGTACATACGTACATACTATATTGATTCACGTATCCATGTAATTGTCGAAACTCCACCGTGTAAACATCGATGTGTATCTCTGCTCGTAGATATTCATCGAGATCGGTCGTGCATTACGAATCGGTCTTTTTTAACGAAAAGAGGAAGTGCAATTTAGTAACAATCGAACGGTGCCACATTACTCGTGCGAGGTAAAAAAGATAAAACGGAGAAAATACACGACATGTTGCTAACGAACATGCTATGGAAATAGAAAGTAACTTGAATCCTAAAAAATAACGTGTTCGCCATCCAACGAAGCCTCCACTTTCTTAACGATTGTTCCCTCGAATGGAACAAATGCAATGAATCCCGGATTCTAATGGCTAAGGCGCTCGTACATAATCGTATAATGGAGAGACAGAGGGATGACGTGTTTGTAAAATAAACAAACGAAGAAGCAATGGGGTACAGGAAACCGCGAGAGACCGTTGGAAAACTGGAAGTTTAATGATTCTTAAAGGCGAGTTCGTCGGCTATCTAAATTAATTCTTAAAGTTCCCTCTCAAAGAGTCGTTCTCTCCCGCGGCTGGTAATTTCGAGGAGTAATTGAAAACACCCGTTCCGTGAATGAACAATTTTAGGCGACGCTAATGGAGATACGGAACACCGCCGCTGTTCTCATAAATTCGCCACGGTGAAATAACGCGGGGCCACCGGGGAATGAATAGATCCTAAAACTAACTCATATTTCCTCGACGCGGCGCGACGCGGCGACTCGACGCGTCCGCTATGATATTTCAACCCTCGTGTATTAAACCAGGTCGCTCGAGTACCGAGATGTGACCAGAGCGATCGCTTTGAGATCTCCCAGAACCAATTTCTATTTTCTTTTCCGCGAACGACCGTTCGTTCGCTCGCTCGTTCGTTCGTTCGCTCTACGTTCTATCTCGCTGTATGAAAAATCGAAGAGTCAGGGAACCCGATCTCTGTCTCTCCTCCGGCGTGTTTGTTTCCCGCCATCGATACTTTATCATCTTTCATTCGGTGGAATTTAACGTCGACGAACGTCAAAGCGTCAGCGACCCTTTTTACTCTTGGTCGAAACAATCGCCGAGAAAGAGAAAGGACTTGGAAGTTTCTTTTTATTTCGGATCGTTACGGCTTGGAAGAGGAGGAGGGGCAGAGGCAGAGTTAAAAAAATGGGAAATCTTTTAATATCAAAGAAACGAAGCAATCTCCTTCCCCGGGCATCTTCCCGGCGGCTTTTTTAAAGAGATTAATTTTCATAGTGGATGATGTTTCGTATCAACAACGGCTCGAGCACAGGGAGAAATTACTTGGCTAACAAAGTTTGCTCGATAACGGTTCGTTTTTCCTCTACCTCGACGAGTTCGGCGTTTTAATAAGAATGGAAAGCAGTCGGAACACCGATCGAACGTCGACACGAGATTCCGCGTGCTCCCAAGTACATGCACCACCTCCCTTCGCAAATTTTATACCCTTTGTCTCACAAAATATGTGACGGATCGCTGACTATCGAAGATTCCACTGATCACGATCGTACAGTAAATCACAATGTCAATTGGAATTATAAATTAATAATTATAAAATATTGCGAACGTCCGTTAGGCTCCCATACGTTTTACGCCACGTTTTGATTGTAAGGCCGACTAACGGAGGTGCATGTAATGAACGACGTGCATGTCCGCGTTCTCGACGATCGGAGTGGCCTGTTCTAATTTCCGTTAACGACGCACTTATTGGCGAGCTCGATCGTGCCTAATCTGAACGGGCTTCCATCGATTCCGAGCCCTGGCAACGACGGCAACGGCAGCACACGAACCGCCGACACTTTTTCTTGACCCTCTCGCGCCTTTAACCCAGTTTCCTCTTCTCCGCGGTTTCTTACGTGTGCATTTTTCATTCCTTTCAGCACTCGAGGCGACACCGGGACTTTACCGTGGCCGAGAGCTACGATGCGTCATCGTCCAACGGTGACGGCCTCTCGATGACGATACCGTCGCCACCGCCGCAGATCGATCGATCCTCCCTTCCCGAAAACCAATACGAAGGTAAGTAACGATTGATCTACGTAATTGCGCCCAGTTTACCATCTCGCGTTTCGAGCCGACCGGTCTGACGGTCAATTTTCCCGATCGTTTCGATCTGAATCGGTACATACCGACTGTACAAAGAAACAGGATCCCAGGCGGTGAACAAGACTCCGGCTCTTATTACGCGTTCGTCAGATTCGTAAAAAAAAGAATATGAAACTTCCTTAAGCGCGTAAAAAAAAGATGATAAGGCGGAGGACGTATCTACAAAGTTGAACCGACGCGCGCGCGGGTAGTTTTCTCTTTCCCGACGCGAGAGGAACGAAAATTGAAAGGGCAACAAACTGGCCAGCATCCCGGAAAAAATTAATGAACGCGTTTACACGCGGCGTGCATTTGATACAGCGGCGGCGTTGAAAATCAAAAAAGGAAGCTGTCCGGGAGAAAAAGGAGAAGTTTGCCCATTCCCGTGATCTGTACCGTGAACGCTTTATTCGTTCGCAGCGAATTTTCTAAAGCGAATTTCGCGTTATTCTTTCGACTTCGCGGAGGCTACGACGCGGACTCCCGCGTTCAACGGTTTCTTAATTAAACGATTCTCCCGATGAATGTATAATTTGCGACGTACAATGGAGCCATTCGGCGATTGAATTTCGCCCCCTCGAACCACCGCGCGGTCGTTTCGCAAGCCCGAAGAGAGGCGGCGAGGAGACCTGACCGTTTATACTTTCGACCGAACGTCCATCCTTGAGAAAAGGGGATTTTATGAGTATTGTATCTTGAGAATAAAGCACGCCGCGTCGCTGGTGATAATCGGTGCGCCGACGGATTCGAAACGGCCACAGAGACCTCCGTGGGCCCTTTCTCCTTCGGCTCTTTAATCCTTCTTCGCCAGAATCATCGTCTCACCCTTTGTTCGTCTCTCAAGCCAAATTGTATGCCGCCAGTAACGCGTACAGGACCAGCGCCGAGATTAACAGCAACGCTACTACGTAAAATATCGCGCACATCGCAAATTAACCCCCGTCTCGTTATTGAAGAGCGATCCGATTCGTACACAATTTCTCACGGGTAAATAAATAAATAATTGATGAGCAACGCTATCGATCTTTCAGCCGTCATTACTTTGGGGTACAGTCCTCCTCAATGAGAGAAAAATGCTAAAAGAGTAAAAGTTGTAGGTACTACTATTACCTGCAAAAACGGTTGTATACACTGTTCTTCTATCTCGAATATTTCAGGCCTATTCAATTAATTAATTGGTTCGTCGCTAATTATTCTTTAACGAGTAGAGTTATAAGGAAATTGTATTAATTTATTAATCAGAAATATTCACTTTTACAATAAATTAGTTTCGAAACAG